GTGAGGAATGGAACTTCAACCCCGCTGCCTGCCCTTGTGTGCGTAACCTCGGGCTGTCAGGCACACAAGAGATCCAGGTGGGAGAAAAGGTGCCGGCTGGCACCTGAGCTCACTAGGCAAAGGTGAAGTCTTGGCCGTTGCTCTCACGGCCAGCCCAAATGCTGGCCAGAGAAGGAGCCAGGGGAGGGAAAGAACAGCTGCTGAGGAGGAAGAAGACACAGAGCTTGAATCCCTGTGATGGGAAGATGGGGCTGAGGGTCTAACAGCACATTTGGAAATACTGGCACCAGCTCTGTTTCTCTATCTCCAGAGGACCCATGTCGGGTAAGGAGTAATGCTTGGAATTGTTGGCGAAAACTGGAGCTATCCTACACTTGGAAAAAGCTGGTGTGTGTATGTGTGTGTGATATACGTTCCTTTAGCTGGAGTCTACAACCTGTGTGGTCCCATTTTGGGCAAAGATGTTATAAGGAGGGAGAGGCGAGGCAGGTGAGACCCATCCTTGTCCACACAACAGACCTTCCAGGTGGGCACGAAGTGCCTCTGATTTCTGCCAATATCTCCACTTTAAAAGGTGAATAAACTGGGTGGGGCGGGATGGGGGCAGTTCACACAGCATCCTCTTATTGCGAGGACTGTTCCCCTTGCACCTGGACAATGGGATCGATCCCCCTTGTGTTACGATGAAAGAACAAATGTGTGTGTGTTTTTAATGGTGTTCTTGGAGGCGTTCTAAACAATTGTCTGAAAAGGGCTTGAAATGCGACAGAGGATGGGAGAACAATGTTGTGAGCGGCTTTGGGTATCCACTGGGGAAGAAGGTAAAAGGTAAAGGTTCCCTTGCTCGAAAGCCAGTCGAATCCGACTCTAGGGTTGCGGTGCTCATCTCCATTTCAAAGCCAAAGAGCCAGCGCTGTCCGAAGACATTTCCGTGGTCATGACTAAACACCAAGGCGCACGGAATGCTGTTACCTTCCCACCGAAGCAGTACCTATTTATCTACTTGCAATTTCTTGCTTTCGAACTGCTAGGTTGGCAGGAGCTGGGGCCAGAGACGGGAGCTCACTCCGTCATGCGGCACACTCGGGTCTCAAACTGGGGGAGAAAGTGGGGGATAAATATTGAAGCAAATCAATCAAATACAACTTTAGAATCTTAGTTCTCTTTCTACATTGGCATCCGGGACTGGTGAAGTTGGAGGTTCTTCTTCCTCCTCTCAGTGCTCTCGGCCCTTTGGTGAACATTTGCTCTTCTCTTGATTAGTTTCTAGCACTGCAGCCCTTTGAAGAGTCACTCCAGTCTCGGTTAACTGAAATCAATGGGCTTAGAGGCTTTAGTGATGTTGCAGAGGACGGCACCGTACTGGCCCTCACTCCCCACGCCTTGAGGGTTCCTGTACAGTATTCAGATAGCATTTCTAGGATGTGTGGCAACTGCAAGCCTTGGGGTGCCAGCCTCCAGGTGGGGCCTGGCGATCAGCGTTCCCTCTAGGCTGTTTTTTATCCTCCAGCTCACAGATTTTTGTCTTAGCTCAGGAAGGAGGGCTCCAGAGCAAACCTAATTTATGCAGTAGCTAAATTGCTCCTAAAAGTCAGTCCTAAAAGAAATCAACCCTGACTGTTCCCTGGAAGGCCAGATAATGAAACTGAAGCTCAAATACTTTGGCCACCCAATGAGAAGGGAGCACTCACTGGAGAAGAAGACCCTGATGGTGGGAAAGATTGAAGGTCAAAGAAGATGGGGACGGCAAAGGATGAGATGGTTAGACAGTGTCATAGATGAAACGAACATGAAGTTGAGCCAACGTCAGAGGACGGCGGAAGACAGGAAGGCCTGACGTGATCTGGTCCATGGGGTCGTGAAGAGTCGGACTCGACTGTGCGACTGAACAACAAATTGCTTGCTCACAAGTTTAATGCCAGTCGCTCACAGTTAGAATTTTTGCTCACAAGACTCCACAGCTTAGAGGGAACATTGCCAGTGGCGATCCCCCGGAATTACAGCTCATCTCCAGACTACAGAGATCAGTTCCGCCAGAGAAAAAGGATGCTTTGGAGGGTGGACTCCATGGCGTTGTACCCCACTGAGGTCCCTGTATCTCTGTATGCCTGTTTTAAAGTCCAGGCACCCTTTCCTCTTTCACAGCTGAATTTCCCAAGAGGGATTTGTGCTCTTCTCTGAGAAAATTAACTGAGACAGACACCTTTGCTCTTCATTATCTAAACTCTGCCTGTTTGGGAATATGGTTTAATGCGACCTGGGAAACCAGGTTTCAGGCTTTCTAGGCACATGCGTTCAGCCTCATTTTCCACACCTGTAAATGGGAGCACTGATGGTCTATCACAAAGAGGGGCTAGATAATGAAGGAAGAAGGTGGCATTTCTAAGCACATGGACTAGGAAATAAGTCCTTTTGAACTCAGCTATTTCTAAGTAAGCCTGCTGAAGTCCGAGCTGAGCCTTTGCAAACACAGTTAGTTTCTCGACAACTCCAGACAGGGTTGCCAACAGGGCTGGAGAAAAATGTTCTGTCCCTTTAATATGTGGAATTGGGCGGCTGAAGCTTTTCAGAGGTAAATAACATCCCCTGGTGAAAGAGATCCCATTAAGCCTCCATTAAAGGGACATTAAAGGAGCTGTGGTGGCTCAAGTGGTTAAGACGCTGAACTGCAGGCTGTGGAAGGTCAGAAGTTCAGCGGTTCAAGCCCCGGGTGCCGCAAGACAGGGTGAGCTCCTGTCTCCAGTGCGCCTTGGTGTTTAGTCATGCCGGCCACATGACCACGGAAACATCTTCGGACAGCGCTGGCTCTTCGGCTTTGAAACGGAGATGAGCACCGCAACCCTAGAGTCGGACTCGACTGGCTTTCGAGCAAGGGAACCTTTACCTTTACCTTAAAGGGACAGGCCATTCTCCAGGCAGGTGGCAACCGACCTCCAGAGTCACGGTGAAAATGAGAATTGCAGCACTTGTTGCTCACAATGAGTTAACTGTTTCTCCTTTTTGATTGCTTATCTTATTAGAGAAGGAGGCTCTTGCTTGTGTGTAACCAGTTTTATTTGATTTGGATTGCCTGCCGAATACAAGATGTATATCTTTCGAGTGGTAATGTTTGCCTATAGAATGACTGCAGGGTATTTTAAATGTCCTGGGTTCTCCTTACCTTTGGGGGAATGGGGGGGGGGTTGTGTTAAGGATGGTTCATGCTTTTGTGTATTTAGATAGGTACACCATGCTGTTCTCCTCAGTTGGGACCCAAAGCCGCTCACGTCCTTTCCCCCTCCGATCTTATATTCATAACAACCCTAGGAAGAAGGCTAAGCTGGTGGACCTCCTGATGGCACCTGGGTTTTGTCCACAGTGTGACACAAAGTGTTGGAATGGATGGGCCACGGGCCTTATCCATCTTGGCTTCTCTTATGTTCTTATGTAGGGTGAAGGGGCCCAAGGTCACCAGCTGAGCTTCCATGATGGAGTGGGGATCTGAACATGGTTTAGGGCCGTCATGCTGCCCACTACGGTGGGCAGCCTTCCACCCCCAAGGCCCAAGCTCCCGCTGCCACTCCATGGAAGTGACATCACAGTGTCACACAGTCAGGGGTCGTTTCGTAGAAAAAGAGCTAGGGGAACGCATTAGCATATGCCACACCCCCTGACATCACCGGAAGTGTGTCATAAGGCCACACCCCCCAACATCACCGGAAGTGTGTCATAAGGCCACACATCCCGCCCCCAACGGTCCCGGCCGCCGCCGGCCTTGCAGCTCCACTGCTGAGCCCCATAAGGGGCCCGGCGGTGGACCTGCAAGGCCAGCGGGAGTGCAAGGAAGCCCCGCGAAGGCCCTCCCTGGCCCCAGGCAGGCAGGGGTGGGGAGAGGCAGGGAGGAAGCAACTTACCCTCCCTCTTCTCCTGCCTCCTCCTGGCTGAATGAGGGCCGGCTGGAAGCAGGGGGCGGGGCTTCGTCGTGTGCCCCGCCCCCATACCTCACCTGGGGGGACTGCGATCCCCCCCGAAATGACCTCTGCACACAGTACTCTAGGAATTTCCCACATCTCTGTGAGAAAAACCATAGAGATCTGGGAAATTCCTAGGGTGTCACCAACACTGGCATCGCTTCCAGGCCTGAAACTAGAAGTGGTCATGGCATCACCAGTTTTGAAGTCTCCAGTACTGAGTTGGCTCTCCAACATCCCAGTCAGAAACTCAAACGACTGTGGCACACTGGAGATGTAAGTGAAAGTACAGTATTGCATCCTGTTGTCTTTGAATGGTTGTATAGCAATTGCCGAACATGTCATCTTGCAGCTCTGTTTACTTTAGTTCATGTTTATTTCAAAGCCTAATTCTTTGCCTGATGGTTGCAGTGAGAAAGATTTTGTGTATGTTGGGATGGGCGGAATAAAACTGGATGGGTAGGGTTGCCAGGCTCCAGGTGATGGCTGGAGATTTCCTGGGGTTGCCACTGATTCCCAGGGGACAGAGAGCAGTTCACCTGGAGAAAATGGCTGCAAAGAAGAAGAAGAGGAGGAGGATGAGAATATTGGATTTACACCCTGCCCTTCACTACCCAAAGGAGTCTCAGAGCGGCTTTCCCTTCCCCTCCCCACAACAAACATCCTGTGAGGTAGGTGGGGCTGAGAGAGCTCTTTCGAGAACTGCTCCTGAGAGAACAGCTCTGAAAGAACTTGTAACTGACCCAAGGTCACACCAGCAGCTGCATGTGGAGGAGTGGGGAATCAAGCCCGGTTCTCCCAGATTAGAGTCCGCACTTCTAACCACCACACCAATCTGGCTCTGATGTAGACTCTATAGCATATATATATAGAAGAAGAAGAAGAGATTGGATTTATACCCCACCCTTCACTTGGAGTCTCAGAGCAGCTTACAAACTCCTTCCCCTTCCCCTCCCCACAACAGACACCCTGTGAGGTGGGTGGGGCTGAGAGAACCCTGACACAAACTGCTCTTTTTCAAGGACAGCTGTGCCAGAGCTTGTGACTGACCCAAGGTCACATCAGCATGTGCGAGTGGAGGAGTGGGGGATCAAACCCGGTTAACTCGCACTCCCACTGGCCTTGCAGGTCCACCGCCGGGCCCCTGATGTCAGGGGGTGTGGCATATGCTAATGAGTTCCCCTAGCTCTTTTTCTACGAAATGACCCCTGTCTGGAGCCATCCTTCCTGAGCCAAGACAAAAATGTGTGAGCCAGAGGCTAAAAAACTGTGAGCTAACTCACACAAACTCAGCTTAGAGGGAACACTGATCCCATCCATTTCCCTCCCCAAACCCCACCCTCCTCAGGCTCCACCCCAAAATATCCAGGTATT